GTAATTTGTTACTTTGCTTTAAGTAAAAATACCGTAAGATCTTCGACTAAATCTTATTAGCGTTAACTAACATTCATAAGCATTAATCACTTTCTTTACTTGACATATTCCTAGTCTGACGTATATCTTTTCTATGCATGATAAGTCTTGTAAATTACATAACATAAAGGAAAATATGTGGTTTATGTTTATGTGTATTTTAAGTCGTCTCTCTTAATTTCTTTTTTTTTTTTTTTCTTTCTTCTACTTTCGAGTATTGATTTCATCATCTACTTTATCCTTTAATTATTCACTTTGATACTAATGATAATTACTGCATCGAGGTATGTTATTTACGGGTTATATTTTTATTTAAAAACACTCTTAATCGATTTTTGGATGAAGTTCAAAAGCTGATTTTGATTTTGATGCGGGATTGTTGTTGTATAATGGATTTAATATCAAGCCAGACTTTGATTTTAGTGAATTTGGGCGGTTCCATTGTTGGTAAATAAGAGCGATGCAAAAATTTCTTCTTGTCATTTATAATTCTTAAAAATTTTGAAAAATTTTTACTAAATTTTAAATGGAATTTAATTAATATTCTGTCAAACTTTGATGCATTTAATTTGAAATTTTTATTAATTACTTATGAAATTTTATAAAAGGTTATTTACACTTTAAAGAAATTCGTTTTGTAAATATAAACACTAATTAAAAATCGAGTTATTCTTACTTTTATAATACAAAATATTTTAGAGTAAATTAACTATTTTATAATATAAATTAATATTTAAATTTTATAAGAAAATTCAACTAATATAAAGAGTAGACAAGAAAGATCAGATAGGAGAAATAATATGAAGTAAGATCGTCTCTTACTGATAAAGGTATCAATTTCTCAAAATATTTAATGTTTATTATTAATTTAAGAAATTTAACGATAAAAGTAATTAATAGCATGATTATTGATTTTAAAAAACCTTTAATTCATCCACAACTGACAATATTAAAATAAATTAATAGAAGTTTTTCATCGTCGTTGCATGGTTCAGTCCAGACTTAATCTGTTGTAATTTTTCATTTTTATTGTTTCTGCATCAACTTTTTTCATTTCAAAATAACTTATAAACTGGTTTTGACATTCCGTATTTGTACAAGACACTGATGTAATCTGTATACGTCATTTTGTACCCTTTGCTACTTTCTCTTTCTACGTGTCTTCTCAATAGAAAAGCCTTGACCATCCAATTGGGCTGAAATTTTCAAATTGCACGCCTATACACTCCTACTGTCGCTGTCTGTCTGTCTGTCTTTGGTTAATCTCGAGAACGGAGTTAAATAGATGACCTGCACGACTCGACTGTTATCAGGAAAAGTATGATGTACAGGGGTAACACGCTACTAATTTGAGATCGAGAGCATATATTTTGAATTAAATGAATTAAAAATTGTGATGATATCGCAATAAATTTTTCGATTTTCTTATTTATTATTTGTATTTATTAATATTTTCTCATTTTTAATTGATCAGTGCAAGAGATTTATATTAATTTGCAGCATCGCATTCCAAGCATCCCCAGTTGCATAGTTACAATCTCTCAAGTTCCAACTGTCAAAATACGTATTCATATATTACACTTGGAGTAAAATATTTATTATTATATTATTTTATGTAGTTAAAATATTAAAATTAAATATTTTTATTTCCAGTTTGTACAAATGTATCAACAAATATATAGTCTTTATGCAATTACAGAATTTATTATTTGATGTATCTTAAACTATAATAGAAGATATATTTTGATAGTTTATGTAAATAACAGAATGATAATGCTTTTCTAATTTTATTTGTTTTTTTTTTAATGTAAAACAATTAGAATTTTAATTTATAGTAAAATTAAGGAACATGTATGAATTTTCCTACAGAAAAAATGGAGAAGTAAGGAATTTTTCAATGAAAACATAAGAAAATTACGATTATCTATATAATATAACATGTCAACTCATCCCTGCTGTGGAAATTCAGATTCGAACTCGATCCAAATTACCATAATTTAGGATAAGTCAGTAGGTTCGGGATTCATAATGCACGGTGGCTAACCCCATTGCGGGTTATGCAAGCCCGTAATGGGTGTAATTGTGGCTGATCAAACAGCTTTAATATGCTGCTGTTTCGCATTAGCTAACCAATCGAGCAATCAAATAAACTAGCAAACTCTACGTCGAGTCCGAATATTATTTTGCAAAGAAAAAATGCAAATGTAGATAATAATATATCCCATTAACTTTTATAAATGGGGTAAAATTGGCTGAAAGTTTCATGTGTATCTGCGATAAAAAATAAATAAATATTTTAATTAATCATATATAATTTAATAATCAAAGCAAGGCAATATAAACAAGTAATTATTTATTGTGATATTGTCACAATGCCGGGCTGCAATTTTTAATTTATAATTGCTTGCCCCTGGACATCATACTTTTCCTGATAATAAAAGAGTCGTGCCGGTCATCTACGTAACTCTATTCAGGGGGAAATATTTGAATTGCACTCACGTGACTACCGTTCTAGACAGGAGGTTCGTATATAGTTAATCAGGCCTCTTTACCCTAAGCTTTCCATATCTGGTCTGGATTTGTATCTACCTAACACCGTTCTCGAGATTAAGGAAAAAAACACAATGGGAATTTATGTCTACAATTCTGTTTTTCAAATTGCAGCCCAACTAACATAAATGTAAGATAACTAAATAAAAAAAAAGTTACCAACGTTGTTTTTGGACTTTCCTGGCAATTTTAATTTCTTTTCATCCCTAATAATTATTACCATTACCTTTAAATCCTTCAGATTGGTTCGGGCGATATTCAGGGGTTAGAGCAATATATCCCGAAGAAATCGTCCAATTTTCCTAAAAATTTCTGGAAATATTTTCCCCTAACACCCAAACCTCCCTGCGAAACTTCATAAATTTTCGACAAAAAGCACAGGAGTTATTAAGCTTCAAGTTAGGTGAACAGAATGGTGCCCACATACTAATATTCTTACGTACAGGAAAAAAACCCTAAATATTTTTGCATTTCTCGACATTTCAAAGTTCTCTCAGTCTATAAATGTAAAAATCTTGGGGGATCGCCATACTTTCCTTCTGTTATATAACAGCAAGAACGTAAAAAGGAATTTAAATCGAAAAACATAGAACATGGCCTTTCAACTCTATACAACTTTTTATACAAAAAAAATGAAACAAAAGCATTTATCAGAATGTTATTAATCCCTCCTAATACTTGTCATTCTATATTAATGTTTTTTTTTTTTACATTCAAGTTGTGTATAAGTTATTGGAGAAAGTCGAATAGAGATTCGATCGGTAGATCAAGTCAAATACAAAACTTGTCAAAGCAAAGGAATTTAACATAGATAAATAAAAGATTATACAACTTAAAACTGCTTGAATATACTTTTAAATCTTTTCTTTCTTTCGTAAAGGGGTTTAGTTACGTTAAATGACGTCATAATAGTTCATTAAAAGAAGATTATTGTGAAAATGTTATTGTTTCAAATTAGGTCTCTAGCGTGTAAGAATTATAAAATTTTCTATTTGTTTTTCAATAAAATCCTTTTCTTCTTCCCACCTCCCCCCGGTTCAAAGTAGCTTAGAGTGTCATTAGTTCGAACTTTCTTCAGCGAAATTCTTCGTACCCACGAGATTAATCTATCTTGTGCTGTCAAAGTTTTGCTGAATTTTATGACTTGCATTATAAAATTTCTGCCTCTTTGATCCTTTATGAAGGAATATAATACCCTATATTAGCATTAAGAACTGTTATTTTGTGATGGCTTGAAGGTTTATGCTTGTTAGATAATTACGCTTGTCCTTCGTGGTACATAATTTAATATATAAAAATACTCTAAATTGTTATTTGAAATATTTTTATTTACCTTTAGAATTTATTTTTCAAAACATTATCGTATAACAGATCATAAAAGAATGGTCAATTACAGGTAAAAATCGTTAGTGTAGGATATAATACATCAAAAAAAGGGAGATATAAATGTGAGTTTATATATTTAATTTTATTATGTATATAAGCTTATATTCATGCTGTATCCATGCATATTATTATAACAGTTCTTTTACTATCTTCCATAGAAATATTGCNAGAGATATATATATATATATATTGCAGCAAAATTTTATGTTTCTGTATTAAATCTTCTATATAAAAATTAATTCGATTTTAAATTCTTCCAATAATTAGTTTCTTACACAATATAATTTTCTACATTTTAACTGCTAATTTAGATAATTTAACATTAAAAAATTTGATCATCATCATTTTAATAGGAACGAATAAACGATCAACAAAGCGCAAAATCATTAGAACAATCGTTAAAGTACATTTCCATTAAGATAGAGGCCACTATCACTACTTCGTATGTCCTGTACTTATTCATCTCCTTTATATGGAAGTAGCTAGAACACCGAACATCTTCCTCTATAATTTAAAATTCTAAAATAAAAATATGTTTACTAAATTTCAATTTAACAGATAATATATATGTAAATGATAGTAAAATAATAGTTTACACTGTATTCGTTTTATATAATTTTAGTTAAATTTATAACCAAATTGTATATGTTTATGTATAATATATGTAAAATATAACATAGAAATATAATGCAGCGTAATAAATTTATTTGAAGTAGAATAAATTTTTATTTATTTTTTAAGTATAAATCATAGAAAAAGACAAGCAATTTCTGTACAAAATTAAGTGCTTGTATACAATAGTTTGGGGCTATTTATTTATTTATTTTTAAATAATATTAATATAAAAACTCAGTAAAATAATTAATACTGTAATTAATAATTTTTTTGTAAATGATGATGAACTTTTTTTGAAGTAACAGGTTATGGAGAATAACTAAGAGTTGTGGTTTCTTATTCTGTTTTCTTATTAAAAAAAATATTCTGAAACTCGTAATGAAATTTGAATATTTCCAGACTCACCGGTAGTTTTTTCTGAAATGTTACCATAGCAGCATCCTTTATTCTTCTTCTTCTTCTTCTTCTTCTTCTCTGACTCTTCTACCGTTACTTGGATACAGTAAATTGATTTTTTTAATGTAATTTCCAATATTCTTTCTATAAACAAAACTTTTACAAACCATTAAAATTTTAATATATAAAAATTGAAGATAAAAGTAGCATGTATACCTTACCCCCATAAAGAATTTCCTGATGCAAGGATAGCATTTCACGTTTGTCTTTGAAGTATCGAATGGTTTACCATAATTTTTGAATAAGTAGAATTAAAAGAATTTTTCTCTTATCAAATTTCTGTATGGAACATTTAAAGAAATTCTTTTTTTAATTGTCCAACTTATCAATTTCCTTTTATTGAAGTCATTACTGAAAAAGAAATCATAAAATAAAATTACAATTCCTAGCTTCAATTTTTAATCATATTTTAATTAAAAAACACCACGTGGCATCCGATTCAGATCGAAAATTCGTATATACTAACCTATCTGGTCTACATTTTCACCTAACTCCGTTCTCGAGATTAACGTACAGACAAGCGGACGGATTGCAGCGGGAACGTATAAGTCTGAAATTTGAAAATTACAGCTCAATTATCTTTAAAAATATATAATAAAACGAATATTTATTATGTTTTATTATATAAATGAGAAATTAACTAGGTTTTCCTTCCTTAATCTCGAGAATAGGTGAACGTCAAGACCAAATATGGAAAACTTAAGAGCAGAAAAGGCTCCCCCATTATACGAACTTCTGGTCTATACCGAAAATAACGTGATTTAAATTCAAAAATTTTCGCTAGAATAAGTTTACATGGATTACCGGCATGACTCTGTTGTTATCAGGAGAAGTAAGATTTACAGGGGCAACCAATTACTAATTTGAGGTGGAAAGCATATATTTTAAATTAAATTAATTAAAAATAATTGCTTGTTCTTCGTGTAAAATCAACAATTAACGAAGAATTAATACGTGGTGAACATTTATGAGACTTTAAGCATGAAAATTTCTATTTGGAAGCAGTTAAATATATTCAGAAACACCTAAAAAGTATCAGGAAAATGATCAGAAATTTCGAAAATGGTTCGAGATATAAATATATACTTTTTTAAAATAAATATTTTAGAACTTTTTTCTTATTTCGAAAACTTTAAACTGAAAATCTATGAGATGAATGATTCGGAAGTTTAAAAAACTTTGATTTTTTTTAAGTGACTTTAACTTAAAAGTAGTGAGATTTTTGAAATTTTTATATTAATTTTACACTATTTTCTATACCTTTGTTAAATTTTAACTTTCTTATTCAAGAGTTTCGAATTTTGTAAGTAAATAATGTAAGCGTATGATTAAAAGTATTGCAGAAATCTAAAATATGTGCAGTATTTGTATTAATAACGATATTGTATTATTATTATTATTATTATTAAAATTTTATAATTAATTAAAATAGTTAAAATATTGCAACTAAAATCGTAAATGTTTGTATAATTGTAATTAAGTATGCAAAGTTTAATTTTAATTCTTAAGTTTTTATACTGTTTTTACAGGGGTGTAAGTAGTAAAAGTTATAAAAATTATAAGGAAAAACTATTGTAACATCGCACAATGCGGGTTGAAAATTTTAATCATGTTTTTAATTTATTTAATTTAAAAAATATATGCTCTCCACCTGAAATTAGTAGTGTCTTGCCCCTGTACATCATACTTTTCCTGATAACAATAAAGTCATGCCAGCCATCTATCTAACTCTTTACAGGGGAATTTTTATTAAATCACATGACTTCCGGTCTAGACCGGAAATTCGTATATAGTTAATCGAGGCCTCCTCGAGGGCATTTTTAAGATCCTTCTGATCTGTGATCAATAATAGAAGCTTTTTTCATGTCTATCTCAGCTTTGACCATAACCACAATGAGAATAATTGAGTGATGATTGGGGTTCAATGTATTTAGGTCAAACTATCCACAAAAATTCTGAGATTCCGATCTGAGATGTTGTCTTAACTAATTTATGTATCCAACAGTAAAGGGGAGGCTTGCGTTGCATATTCGAGCATCAGACTGTACGTAAGCACATAAAACACTAGCAAGCGGATAAAGATATATAAGATTGGGAGCCCCTTTACATAATTATCCAAAAATATAAAACTAATACTGTCTAACTTTAAAGCTACTTATAAATTACAATACACAATTGACTATTTATATTTTTCCTAATTTCGGTGCCCCGAGACCCGGGGCCACCAGGCATGTGTCTCAAGTGCCTAGTGAATAATCAGGCAATGCTAGCTGCAATGTATTTACTTCGAATGTGTGACATAAGCCTCTTGTTGCCATTGGATACAGAAATTTCGTTATTCCCTAAAGTAGTTAAAATAAAATTCAGCCATTTTGGTTGGTTCCTAAAAGTGATATTCTTAAAAACACGAAATCTCTCTAACTTTACATAAAAATCTTTCAAGTATCCTCGTCTTATCTTCGTTATCTTCTACAAATGTGTCTCTATCTACCTATTATCAGGTTTATTGTCCACCCAGAACTTCCGGAAAATTCAAAATGCCATAAAAGATGCTAGAACATTTTAAATTCTCCAGAAACAATAAAATGCTTTAAATTTATCCTATGCAATGTTAAAATTTTAATTATAGATGGGAATATCAGATTACTAATAACTTTTACATCAATTATTCGATTTAAAATCAGAAAGAGGAAATTTCTATTAAAAATTACCTTCGAAATCATAAGCAATATGCTGGTGCCAATAATTTACATAATCATCAGCCCGTTAAATTTAATTGGAACTTTTTCAAGAACAATTCATTCTTTCTGGTAATTTCATCGCATTTAAAGGTTAGCTAATTTTGGCTAATTGCTAAAAACACTTTAATATTATTACTGTTATTAATTATTACAATTTACCTACTGAAAAAAATTATTTTAAACGTGGGCATCCGTAGGGAAGGAAGCGACTCCTACACTCTCGACGATGGAACGCCTTCATGCAATTCTTTTCATTCTATAATCTAGAAAAAGTGCCCAAAAAATTAAATAATCGAATAAAATTTTATTGTTGTAAGCATTTGTCTTCAAGCTTTGTAATCGTGGAAAATTTTCTGTGAACGCCCAAGGTCACATAAAAAAAGGAAGCACGAGTTGCTTAACTTTCCCGGCAATAAAATTTACAACTGCGTGTAGAGCCATCTGTTACGACATTTTATTTCAGAAAACTTTTTATATTTTAATTATTATAAAATATCATTAAGTCTGACCCGATTCGAGATACGACACGTTACCTCCTCTATCTCCCCACTCCATCGATCTTTAACCACCAAAATTTATCAGTATCAATCTCCCTAACACCCAAACCTTTCCAGAAAATTTCAGAAATTTTCGTTAAAAAGCACAGGAATTATTAAGCTCTGAACAAAATCCTGCCAACATATAAAAACCCAGCGAGTTCTCTCGAGGGGTTTTTATATGGGATCCTTTTTATTAACTTGGGGAATCTTGGGAAGGGGTTCTTTTCTTTTAACCAATCGTCATACTTTCCATCCATTATACAGTATACAACAGAGCAGGGAAAAGTAATAACATTGCACACTTCACACATATTGAAAACAAATTGCTAAATTTTTTATATAAAATATAAAAATTTATTATATAAAAATGTAAAAATATAAAATTCACGATAAATATCGTAGTATTATATAGAGTTGTATGTATATCCAATATAAAAATAATAATAAAAAAATAAACTTTTTACAATTTTCTCAATGTTTGCTGCAAAAATGATATCTGATATCGAAGTAAAATAATTTTATGCAAATTCAATTTTTAACCAAACTTCTTTATATTATTTAAATATTTTTGTTTCCATTTTTTTTCTAAAAAGAAAAGGAATATTCAATTTATTTTTAAGAAAATATGAAGGAAAAAAACAAAATAACCTGTAGTAGAAGAATTTTCGTGTCAAAGGTTCGGTGTAATGTTTTTTTCTGTGTAAGTGTGTTATATAAAATCGAAGTTTATTGATTTTTAATTTAATTCTTACATAATTTATGCCGCTTCCTGTCAAAATTCTTAGTTATTTCTCATGAATTATGTAACTTCTAATAAGTTTTTATGAATGACTTTTGTAAAACTGTTTAAATATATACTTTATATACACAAAACATATCAGTTATCTTTATTTTTATACAGTAATATCATATTTATCCATCATTTTTATGCTTTACTTAAGGCTTTAAAGCCTTAATTTTTTCATAAAAATAGAAGAATTAAAATTAAGCCTGCTGCATCATGGTTTAAAAAAAATAATAATCCTAATATAAATATATGAAAAATTAAAAAAATAAATCAATTTAAATAGTAAAAAAACAGAAAAATATATATAAAAAATGAATAAAAGAGTTTGAATAAGATTGTATTAAAATTAATAGGCAAGACTTGTTAATCAACAGCAGCAAAATATAAAATTAATATAAATATCTTCAACGTTCTGAATGCTAAATAACAAAATAAGAACTTTTAATTAAATTAATATAAATAAATTACATTACTTTACACGTAAAAAATCGATTTTATAGTAATTAAAACGATCGAAACATGTGAGTAAATCATGCAAATTTAATCATTCAATCACACTCATTGAAAGGTTTTGTTTGATTTTATAAACAAAATGATGCAAATTAATTTAAAAATATAATGAAATTCAAGTTTCATTAAAAATATATGAAGTCATTTCCTCATTATTTACATAATCGTTAAATTTATTAACTATTAAGATACAGAATTAATGGTAAAATATATCTTAAAATATCCAGCAAAGAAGTTGCTTAACTTTCCCGGCAATGTTTAAAACTGCATGTTGCACCATCTTTTATAATATTTTATTTTTAATAAACTTTATATATTTCTAATTATTATAAAATAGCAAAAAAAAAGCTTAATTTTGATGATAGGGATGAAATTTTCAAAAAGTTATAAATGCTAATAAAGAGTAAAATAGTCATTAAGTCTGACCCTACTCGAGTAGACACGACCTCTTTTATCTCCCTACCCAGTCGATCTTTAAACACCAAAATTGAACAGGATCAATTGTCCTAATACGTAAACCTCCCTGCAAAATTTCACAAATTTTCGACAAAAATCACAGGAGTTATTAAGCTTTAAATTAGATAAACAATTCGTCCCCCCTACATCTACAAATATAGAAAACACCGGCGAATTTTTTCCATTTCTCGACGTTTCAAGGTGTCCCGAATCCAAAAATATAAAAATATTGGAGGTCATTTGTTGACCGATCTCCATACTTTTCCTCTTTTATATATAGTCGACCCCCTATAACACTGTGGATAATTCAGTTTTATATGAATTCCATGTTGTACGAGTCACTTAGATTTTATAAATACGTGTGCCAGGCTGTGAACATCTCACGTATTTGTAAAATCTAAATGACTCGTACAACATGGAATTCATATAAAACTGAATTATCAACAGTGTTATAGGGGGGGGTCGACTGTATAACAGAGCCCGGAAAGTAAGAATTATAATACTCTAGAACCTATTT